TTGTTTTATACGACGCGATAACAAACAAATATGTAGTCCATACCGCACTCATTTTAAATTTGCGCATTTATTTAAAAACATTTATGGATTAAATGAACACAAATACCTTTAAGTCTTAAAGYAACCACAGTTTTTTCACGACGGCACTGAATTAAGCATTTACGGAAATAGTGGATGGATCGCGGGTATTGATAAGTTATATAATTTGTACATTKGTAACATTTTCGTTTGGTATATTTCAGTGAAACGTCAAGAATTAAAAACGACTACATCGCCATAGTAGAGTGCGCCGGCGAAGTGGAGGGGCTGACGGAACACCAGTTGCGTAGGTTAGAGGAGACCAAGAGCAGTGGCCCTAAGAAGATTTTAGCCCGCGTTGAGAAACTTCGTCAGACAGCCTACGAACTGATGCAGCACGACTACGGATTGTTTAGGAAAAAGTTGTTAAAAGAYCACAAAATCGCGAAAAAATAAAGTTTTTGGTTTAAAATATGTATCGAAATATTTTCACGTATGTTTAAGTATATTTTTCATGTTATATAATTTATWTGAAGTACAAAATACATGTTAATTTAATTTAGATATCATGTTGCGAAGAATCATTGAATTTCAGATTTTCAGCAGATCGTGATAAATTTAGGATAGAAAAGAAGGAAAAATATTATTTTTAAAATAATGATGATAACACAAGACCTTAATATATTTAGGTATATGGACATGAAAATGGAATATCCACCTCACAAAAAATTACTGATTAAAATGATATTTATATATAGGCATCTATATTTTTTTGTACATTCACATATTTACACTACGATTCCAAGAGCGTTCTTAAATACCCCTTCTGTTTATTTTTTATCCAAAAGATCTTTGGCTTCGTTTATTTTTGCTGCAATGTACGGTGAACCTCCCTTATCCGGATGATTGATCAACATGATTCGTTTGTGTGCTTCCTGTCCAAAAAATCAAAATTACATATTGTTATTTATTAATACACAGCTCTAACTAATAACATATTATTATAAAACTTATTATATATTCCCACGCATATGACAAGCAGAAAATTGTATAGCGGAAACAAGCTTACGTGTTTCAAAAATAAAACTTGGAATCGAGTACCACGCAATAAAAAACATAAAATATGTATTTGGCGCCGAAATTCTAATAATGTACAACAAAATATGTCATAACCATTACAATATTTTGATCAGTCTCCCAATCATATATAATAAATTGTTGTTTGAAATTCGTAAAATTGAACAATATATTATGTAAACTTTTTTTATAATTAATTGTATCGTTAAAGATAAATTATTTAAAGCACTTAGGTATGCTAGGAAGTTTTTTTCCGTCATATTTGTCACGAATTACGCATTAAAATTAATTTTTGTTTCATAATTATTGTAACTCTATAAGAAGTTGAATCCACATTTCATAAAATAATGATTTATTTCGTGTAATTACTAGGTAGGTATAATTGATTAAAAACAGAATCAATTTATTTAAGGCGCACGCACAGTGCCAATATAATTTTATATATTTTATCCACAATAATACACAACTGAAATAATGACC